AGGCGGGCACCACTTCTAAGGTTCTAAGATAGTCGCAGGAAGACCCCTAAGACTAGATCCTAACTCCTACGAGGAATACTAGACCTCACGAAAATTGAGGTCAACAGACGGTTGATGTAGGGTGGTTGGGAACTGGTTCGGAAGGTTGGAATAACAGCTAAGCCACGGCGGAAAAGGTTATGGGATGCTGGAACAGTGGATAGGTGGTTGGAGAGAGGCCGGCTGGCTAACGGAAGGGCGTAAAAGAGGAATGGCAGCAGCATGGGAGGAGGCTGGGTGGTAGCGGCTGCAAGAAAATAGCGCGGCGAGTGTTTTCTGAATGGCCGCAAAGAATACAGTAACGGAGGCAGCAGAGGGAAGGTTGCGGAGGAGTAGGAAGGTTGAAGATAATCACTACCTCGGACGAAATACAGCTAGACGCCCACCCGTCGTAGAATACAATCCTAGAAAGGATAACTTGAATGCCGGCGGCTGTCCCACAAAAAATATGAAGAAAAAACTGCCCTAACACACGAAGAAACAAAATGTATAATATTATGGTAGCCAAGGAGTGGCCTTAACTTTAATAAACCACGGTTCGATCTCTCCTTATTGCATGCAGGCTCGACTCAATACTCATCAATCCCACGCATGCTGGCTCCTCTCTTCTTCAACTCAAAGCTTCTTCTCTTCCTTCGGTGAGTGTGCTTTTTCCTTCAATTAGACATAAAAAGGCCTTCGATTAAGTTTCACGATTGAGGAACACTCCTACCTGAGCCGCTCGAGCTTCTCTTCCACCCTTCTCTGCTCGGTTATGGTATGACTCCTGCTTCCAACACTGAAATCATTCAATCTAGAGCTTCTCCCATAAGCAGAAATGGATTTTGCACCACTGAAAGGAAAGGAGATCACTCGGCTTCCCTTACCCTTTCCTTTGTTTAGGACCTCTCGACAACATGTGAGGAATGCTCATTCGAACGTATTGAGTCTCCAAGAGTTCAAACAAACATCTTCATCAAAAATAAATACTTCTTGTGTGCCCTTCGGCCACTCACCTCCTCCCTTCTTCACTACCAAAGAACCAGGGCACAAAATCCCCTCAATGGAGACCTAGAAGATTTCGGTTGTGTTGCCACTTTTCGCAACCTTCCTCCCCTTCTTATATCTTTCTGTTTCTTTGTTTTCCTCGCTCGCTCTCACTTTCTCTCTTGCACATTGATTCTCTCATGGGATGTGATCGAATGGAATGAAATGAGGGAAAAGCTCTCCGTTCAAATCCCCCGTGCTCGACACATGTTTCGAACGACACGTATTTTTTTTTCATGGTTATAACAATCCACCACCTTATAAATTTTCGTCCTCCAAATTTGCAAATAAACTCGAGGTCTCAAATCATCTCTCAATAGAACTCCAAATCTCCTTCACTAAATTAAAAAAGTGAATACAATAAAATAATTTTTTTATACATGATAACTAAACTAACATTTCTCATCAATTGAGGATGATATCTCATCTAAAGCAAGGTAACATAACCACAACACTCGTTCTCTAAAAATAAAATACACTAGAATGACACTTCTATAACATGTGATTAAATATAACATTGATCAATCCCTAGTAGCATTAACATTAGCAACAGGTTCTTCAAACTCTCTGCTAGTAAAGGAATTAACATAATTGCTTAAAGTTAACTTAAATTTTCAATTTAATTATTAAAGATCGACCATCAGATAATCCGGCTAAGAGAGTAGATGTTTTAGCTTCGACTAATAATAAGAAAGACAGAGGTAGTCAGGTAAACCTAAAAAAACTTGGCCATATTGCATAAAAAAAGATCTTAATATATTAGAATTAAATGGAACTATGACACTCAATAGAACATATTGGAGAAAAAGGATTAATGTAGCCGACCCCACTTAGTGGGATAAAGGATTGTTGTTGTTTTTGTTGTTTGACTATGTGGCAATGACTCTGACTATAATAGTTTGTTTTTAAAATACATAAAAAGCCTAAAGATTATTTTGAGTGTTTTAATCAATAAAATGATTTATTTAAAAAAAAAATAAGATAAACAAATATATTTTAAAAAATAAAAGCAAAAGACAAAAGACAAAAGAAAAAAAAACAAAAATAATCCCAAAAAGAGCCTAAATTAACCACGCCATCATAGTATAACTCTTTGAATCTCAATAAATATCTCATTTTAACCATTAAGCATTTTGAATAATCCTATTTACATATAATGTCCGAACTAGAAATTCCTTGATTAACAATCAACCTATAAATAACCCTATTTACTTCAATAATTTTACCGTCCATCTTTCTACCCACAAGTATCTCAACTCTTTCTTATGGTTAACATTACCCACTAATAATTAACTCATAGCATTGCCAAAGTCATCGAATTTTCCTGCTCATTTTGGTTTCTTGTAAATAAGTAGTATTTTCAATCCATTCTTTTGTTTTCCTGTTAAAAATTATCATATTTGATGTAGAAAGTTTAATCTTAGTTTTATATCTAATCAAACTTTGGTTACTTTTTAACACAATTAGAAAAAGTTGTGGTGCGTCACTTAACCAATCCTTCCTTACTTTTCTCCTCAATTAAGTTATGTCATAATATGCCAATTAGAAGTGATATCCTGGAAAGCCCTTGGCAACTTCTCACCACAATCTAATTAGGTTGCAGCTTGTTGGTTTAGGGAAATGCCCTAGCACTGGCAAAATTTAATTTTTGATTCTATTAGTGTTTTCTCCTTTTTAAAACTTAGTTAATCATTTAACATCAACCCTGCATTTGGGCTTGAAACAAATAATGAATACTTTTACAAAAGGACCTAATCACCTAAATATAATTTACCAAAATAAATAAAAACTAGACAAAATGTAAGAATAAACCTCAACAGAATAATTTGTAGTCGACAACTACCATCCTTTAAGAAACATAGGAGACTTCATCCTCACACATATTCCACCATTCATCCAAATTTTTGAATGGTTAATGATGTATGATGACAATGTGCTCTTTACTGGAACTATCATAAAAAAAAATATTTATCATTAAAAAAGGATAAAATTTCAATGATATATAGGCTTACCTTCTTTGATGGTAATTCATAATTTATTAATACACGAGCTGCTAAAGGAGCCTCCCCCAAAGTTACAAAAGGAAGGCAAGCATCTGTCACAATTATCATGCATGACTTCTGATTTTCAGGCTCAACACCATCACCAGAATGGACATTAGCATTTTGATTCCATCCTATGGTTGATTGGCGAAATTTTTCAAGGGTGGATGCTCTTTCAGCTTCAGCCTGATCACTATACTGCATCACAATTATAAAAAACAAAGTATGTATCGACTTAATAAGACAGCATTGGTTCGATTGAAATGGATTAGAAAGAAAAGAGGGATGGTAACACTGAAGCATGCTTCTGAGTTAGTGATACATAGTCATCTGGACAGAAAATATCACAACTTGATAAAATTCTCTTGGGCCTTGAATACAGATTATAAAATAGACCCACTGAAAAACCCTATTCCACAAGTCAGTGGCTAAATCCAAGGCCAGGACTTTAACATGGTCTCTTACAAGAGTAAATTTGGAAGGCCGCTACTTACCAGCGGGAACGAAGAGATAAAGTTGAGGTTGGATACTGCAGCATAGACAGCATCCAGCTCATCCCGTGAATTGCAGCACAGAACAACAGGCAGGAACGGCCGACGCCCTGTCACGCCTAGGAGATCCACCAGGGTATCCTGCAGCAGAATATTCACTTTTTTTCTCCAGCTCAACAAGAGTAAGACATCAAGGCGAGATAGACAGAGAGAGAAAGAGAGGGACCAGCTTGAAGAGAAGGCGGTCAACAGCGACATAAAAATGACGGCCAGCGCTGCAGAGAAGACTGGATTTTAGCTATCTAAGATTGTTAAGGAAAAACAAAATGGAAATGAGGAGAAGAAAACCACGGATGGAACGAAGAAGATGAAGGTGAGGAAGAGTTGAGGGCTTCCGGGTGATCCATCGCCGTTCCTCTTCTAGTTTCCCTTCCGGTTGTAGCCAAGGATTTGATTTCCATCGGAAAAGACTCGCGAAGCCATCAACTTCGAGTCCCAAACCTTTCATATTCGTTGAAAGAGTTTTTATTAAAAAAAAAATTATGAGAATATTCTTTTTTAATTAAATTAAAATAAGATTCTTTTTTGCTAAAAAATTATTTATCATAACTTAAATTAAAAAAAAAAGAATTTACTGCCAAATAAAGTTATGTTGTCATCAAGAAAATAAAATTACAAAAATAATGCCCCAAGCAAACCCATAGTCTTAAAGCCTCCAAGTTCATCATTTTTTCACTAGAGAAATGTGGGGTTCATAAAATATTTGATGCACCCTATCTCTCTCCACTATTTTTTTAACTTTTGTTAGTTGTGTTTATCTTTATATAATCTCTACAATTAAAAATTTGGACTTGATACGTCACCAACAAATTTTCATAATTCAGCACGAATCTCGGTACAATTTTTTAAACAAGAAACATGCAAACTTTGATTAAGAGTCATCCGGAGCTCCGATTTCAACAAAATTATAGTCAAACTGATCGGCTTGATGAGACGGACCTAATGATATAAAATTTAGTCCAATCCGAGTCAAATCAGGCTCGGATCAAGTCATTAAATCACTATTATGGGATTTCCGGAGGCATTTGAAAAGTCAAACATATGTCAAATCTAACTAGTTTATAGTCGAATCGAGCGTCTCGAAAAGACGAATCCAACGAGCCCAAGATTGCTCAATTCCAACATCGTTAAAGCACTCAAATGTCCATCAAACGTCATATGATCAAGGGAAGCTCTCCGGGCCGTCCGATCAAAATGGTTCACATTCCTGCATTAATTGCACTCAAAACACTATAAATAGAGTCTCACCCCTCACATGAAAAGGAGGAGGCTTAAGAGAGAACTTAAGGTTTTGAGAAGGAGCTTAAGTCCAAGATCATCCTCGCCATCGTCGATCGCTGTCGACCACGACCGCCGACCTCTGTCGACCATCGCCGACCACCGTTGAACGCCGCCGATCACCGCTGACCTCTATCAACTACCGCCGACCGTCATCGACTGTTGTTAGCCACTGCTGACCTCCGTCACCCACCGCTTACTAGACGTCATCAGTCGACGTTATAACGTGGAAAGCTAGTAACCCTTTCCCGCAAGTAACACTTTCCCGCCTGTGAGATAAGGCGTATTTGTAATCATCAACTTATAGTGGATTTTTACAATTGGGCCAGACCCTGTGGTTTTCTCTTTTTACGAGTTTTCCACGTAAAAACTTCTGGTGTGATCACAACTCGATTCATTTTTATCTAAGTGTGTGTTGAATTCTCGTGCAACGCGAAGACGATAATCCATTACTCTACCGCCACGAATTTTCTAGCACGCACCAGGACTCATTCATGTGATTTTATTTTTCCAAATAGCAGAGAAAACTTCATTTAGAGGGATTAACATTATCTTTAAGATTTTGAACATCCATGACTGAGAGCTAAATGTTATATCAAAAGACTTAAAATTTATTTATGTTTTTAAAATACAGATTGAAGATTGTTTCTTGTATTCTTATTGGTCAGTGCCCAATGTATTAGAGGAGTATGTTATGTCTCAAGAAGTATCATAAGAGACATTTGTAGTAAGACAATTTAAGAAATGTAAAAGTAGTACCAAGGACAATGCATGCATATAGCTCAAGGATATGACTTCAAAATTTAATTCTCTTTCATATGCATTGTTAATACTTTGATAATGTGTATTGTTAATTAGGTATTTTAATTTATGATTTTAGCTTCTTTTTTTATAAGCATATTCAACCATCTTTAAGGCTAATCAATTAACCTAAAAAACATCATGAATAAGCTATCAAAATCGCAACCACCTAATATTCTACTCACATTAAGAAAATAAAAGTATTTATTGTAGAATGCTTTAGGCATTAGGGAATTAAAATTAAGCTTGTATTGGATATTCATAATGCCATTTTTATTCTAATTAAGCTTATGACTAATTAGTGACAATTATTATTGTAATGTTTTGATTTGAAATCATTTCGATAAAATTTACAAAAAAAATATTATTTATAAATGCATATCATATGAATTAGATTAAGTTACACATATAAAATATTGGATTTATTTATTGGTAGCTACATTGTTAATGATGATAGTAATAAAAATAATATAATGTGAAAGTTTTTGAATTTTCAAATTTCTTGAAGAAAGAAGTCATGATTTTCCTTAAACATTTGTTTCTATTGCATTAATAGAAGAATTGCATGAATCATGAAAGAGTGCAAAAAAATAAAAATAAAAAGATGTCATCACTAATACATTATGATATGAATAATGTTTAATTACCCTCATCTTCCACCTTTTTCTTGTCCATAATGCATTTTTCATAATAACTAATCATAACCTCTGATCAACATTGATTTTTTTTCGAGCTAATATTACATTTTGTTGGTACATGTGTATTTCGTCCTTTTTTTATATTGAGTTCATGATTTTCATTATTTTATGTATTTACATGAACTAAATTTAAGAGTATTAAAAGTTTTTAGAATTGAAGATTGGATAAATAGAGTAAATGCTTTAATATGCACATTCATTAGACAGTTATACGTAATTGTGCAAGCTGTGATTTTGAATTAAAAACAAATTCTTATTAGCTTTGATGTAAATTCAAAAATATGGCAGAATCTATCCCTGTTTTTTATTTTATTGTCATTGTTTTGTAGAAGATGAGTTCAACCCAATCTCTAAGCTCGGAAGGCATCAGACATTGTAAAAATTTTTATGACTACAACTTACAATGTGTAGTGTTTACCACTATTAAAGGTCATAATCAGGGGAAAAGATTTTATAGAAGTCCAATAAATCAAACAAAGCATGATTGTGACTATTTGAGATGGTAGGATGAAGCATATGATGGATTATATGATCGAAAATATGTTTAAAAAGCATTGAGCGAGGAGATGGACAAGAGTATGTTGAAAGAGTATGATTGTGACTTGAAGTTCAGGTTTAAAAGATCAGTTGTGCTGCATTTTGTAACAATTATTATGTTATTCTTAGTATTTGTGCTCATGTTGGAAGAACATCACTGTTATTATTGAAGTTAAGATTTTTTTTAAATTTATTTAAGTATTTTCATGTATGAACTTTTATAAATTGAAGTATGTTCTATTGTAATCTATGGTATATGATTGTTCCATGTATCTTGCTTATGACATGCATGCAGTTGAATAATCATTGTAGCATTTTGAAATGAATTGTAATTGAGTAAAGTTGCTGTCATCGTATTTATGTTCAAATCAGATGTATGCATATGTGTAGCATTGTATGATATGTTTAGATTTTAGATGTGTAAATTAAGATTTAGCGGTTAGATATGTAAAGACATAAGAATCAAGTTGTATGTGTCTAATAATTCTTTTATAAGATGGAAACTATTTGATGCTTTTTCTTATAGCTATTGCTCTATTCTTTTGCTAATGGGACTTTGAGAGGTTCATGATATGCAGAAAGAAAAATATAATCATGAGGTATTTTATGAATTTGTCAACACTACAGAAGAAATTAAAGTATGAATAACCAATTCAATTAATATACTGCTAAAGGTAAAAACCTCATATTTATAATTCTCACAATGTTTGAAGACAATTTAGAGAACAAGAATTATTAGTTTGTTAAAGAAACGACTTTTCATCTCATCTTATGATCATACAAGGCTACAATACTTCTTGAAGAAAGCTCCCCCTGCATAAGTATAAAAACTGGGTAATTTTATGAAAAATTTAGATAGATAACTAACTGTTTTGTGTGAGGCATCATGCAATTTGAGAGATTTGAGGATTTTTCATAGGGGAATTTAAATGAACAGTGAGTGGGAAGGTGTGTGTGATGGCTACACTGTAAATCATTATCAGAACTCTAAAATATTCGTAATCACAAAGAAGCAAACTACAACAGGCTAATATAAGTTATTCATATAACAAATCTTGATATTTGACATATAAAAGGTCCAACAACTTATTCATCACAACCAACATGAAAATAACATTCATTAAAGGCTTAAGAAAATAGAAAATTCGTACACAATAGAATCTTATGACTTTTGATATGTATCACATTTAAGCAAAGGTAGACAACTATTTATTCAAAATTTGGGAAATCAATTCGAGCACATGAACATTTAATCTCATGACAATACCACCCCAATTACTAATGCATGAGAGTATTGCAAATGAAATGTTGACATCAAGTCATAATCTTTAAAAGTGCATAAGCTAATCAAAGTTGGCTAAAATGATATATTAGAAAAAAAATATAATTTTTAAATAAATATAACAACATTTGATATTAAGAAGACAAAAATAAATCAACTCCACCAAAAAATAAAGTAAGAAGCAAAATCACGAGCTCAATATAACCACAGAACAATACAAAAACACCAGCTAATTATGAAATCTAAAAATTACAAATAAAATTCATTATCAATGGGTGTGAGGATGTAAAGCTTCAGTTAGTGAGGTTGTTACATTCCACCCATTATTATTGGTAGTTTAGCTCTAAATCTAGTAACAAAACTCATATGGTATGACTCATTGGTGGTATATTCAGTTTCTAGCATTGACAAACATTCTTGACTCAACAAATTCTTACAAGTAGTTCTATAGTGGCCCCAGAGTCTGCATCACTATATTTATGAATAGTTCTTTTCATATCATTGATCTCTATAAGTTTTAAATTAATTTTGTTGTCCACCTCTTGGCCTTGAACTGTTAGGCACTCCAACATATGTGCTATCTACTGCCACGTTCCACTGATCTTTTCTTGTAAAATTTGATATGCGAATTTCATAAACTATTTTATACCTACAAATGAAAAAAAATAAATTAATAACATGCAATTTAATTGAAACAAAAAAAAAATCACTAGAGTTAAGAACCTAGAAATGCAGTGACAATCGTGAACAAAGTGTATCATAAAGGGTGCTCTTTGGAACCAATAAATGTCGTTGCATGAATGCATTGTAAATCTCCAATTTGCCACACTCTACAAGTACATTCTCTAGTATTGATATCATTTAATGCCTTTCATAGCTCCCTTCAATCTCAGCTTTGTGAAGTGTTGACGGCCTTACCATAAGTTGTTCTTTTCTAGTAGATATTTCTCTTTGTCCTCCACATATGAAACTAACTCATCCTTCCATAATATACGTCTTTAGCTTTCTCTCCACCCTTCCATAAGCTTTGCACGTAAATCAACCATTGACTTGTTTCTAGTTTTGCCAACCTAAGAATTAAATGACTAAAGTAAATTATTTGTATTATAATAATTCTTAATCTCAATAAAAAAATCACTTCTAACCCACTTGTAAGGTAAATTATGTAAATATGCATATACTTGCCGGGAGATATAGCTCAACTCGTCCTTCTTATCATCAAATTTCTACTTGATGTAATAATTAGTTGCAGACCACAATAAGTTCATAAGTTTATCGATGTCCTTGCAATAAAACATTTTTTAATTCTTCTAAAAATGATGCATACATACTTTATGCTCTACATCTAGAAATACAAGTTTAACTATTTCCTCAAGTCACTTTTTCACGTTAGATATGAAATCTAGCTTATGTTGCTCAAACCCATTCATGTCAGTTAACCACTGTCAAGTCTTCTTTGATTATGTTTTAACAATAAGGAAGATTAAGGAAAACAATCTATTATTTTCATCCAATGAAGTTACAAACAAAAGAACACCTAAGTACTTATATTTTAAAAGGAAAGCATCAACACTAATAAAATGTTTACACCAAGCTAGAAATCCATCAATTGTGGCTTTAAAAAAATAATACAAAAAAAACTTATAAAAGATAAATATTGTTTATTACAAGTGTATGAAATATGAGACCTAAAATTTTAACTTGCTAGTTCTACTTGCAATGTAAGTACCCACTTATAATTATCATCAACTAATCCAAAAATATTACTCACTTCTTCTTTTAGTCTCCATAACTTCAAATATAGAAGTGATAGGTCATACAAATTCTCCAGAAATGTTATTTATTTGCTTTGGAGGAATATCAAAATAATTTTTCACAATATGTTCTATCTCGTGAGCTACCCAGGATGTTGTTGCTTGTTCATTCACTACTTTGTTCACACCATTATATAAATGCATAAGCTCAATTTTTTTTTATCTCAAAATAATTTCTATTTACATAGTGTATCTCGTACTCTACAAGGGCATCCATATTGTGAACATAAAATAACGATACAGAATCTATTGTTAACTTAAATCTTCAACCCAAAATTACTTTTAATTGCAGTAGAGTGGGTAAATTGCCTGAAATGGTTCAAATCATGAAAAAAGACACCAACTTTAAAGCTATTATCACATATTATTTCTGTAATAAAATATTCCTCATTGTAAACCTCTCTTTCAACGTTCTCATTACACTTAGAAGTAGACTGTGCACAATAACTATCCAACACAGTAACACAAATCTGAAGTATTTATACTAGTGGGCACATCTCAAAATCGTTTTTATTTTGTGTGATAACCACTACCTCCGCTCACCCATATCCATTAAATTAAGTAATCATTTCCATAACTTTTACATCATTGGTGATATGAATATATTCTTTGAGCGAAGTTTCACAATTATGACATCACAACTCAAATTCATCTCTTTGAGCCAAAGACACATTACATCAATCTCCTCCTTTAGCATATGTAAATTTGTCATGTCGTTTTCAATTGTAATCGTTTTCTTCTTCCCAAAATTGTATTTATTTTTTGTTGGTTTTTTGTTTTTATCCAATATCCACTGTATTTTAATGTGATTTACAATGGCTCATCTCGATCCATAGTTAATTCTATTTCTACAACAAGCTCACATGAGTACATCTAAATAAAAAGAAAATAGGATCAGAGACAGTTGAAAAATCATATAATTGTCTTAAGGCAGGTATAAAATTTTCCTGACATAATAAAAATGTTACTGATTAAGAATCTCATGCATATGCAAATTGAGTGAAACAATATAACTCCAATAAATCAATAACTTGGTATGATCCTCATACACAACAAATGCAACCAAATACTTATACATTTACATATCACAAAATTCTTATGCATTTACATAGCTAACAACTAAAGTTTGATATTAAGATTTAGAAAAATATGGTATTAAAAACTTTGTATGTAAGGTATATTTAGCTTTTAAAAAGTTATCTGTATCGATGTTTTTTGAGTGATGTCAAAGATTTGTATCGACATTCGAGATCCTTGCTTCTTATTTGTTTAAAATTAAATCTCTGGCACAATAGCACTCATAGAACTAACAACTAATGTCAAGTTTATTTGTACATTTGTACTTCTACTAGCATTTCCAAGTGTAAGAGACCCAAATAAGCTTTACTCAAGAATATGAAATGATTCAATGCATATAAAAAAAAATTAGCAAGCCGACAATCAAAATTTTACAAAGTAAAATACTGAAATAAAAAAAAAATTAAAAGAGGTCATGAACATGATAAAAAAAGCAATACATAGCTTAAGGAGTTATGTTCAACCTTGCTCAATCAACTATGTAAATTAGTAAATGAGTTGTAATTTTGTTGAGTTCAAGTTGGTTATCAATTATTTTGATTTGTGTACACCCCAAAATTCAGAATAATCATGTGTGCTCATTTACTGCAAGCATCAAAGCTCATGAACAAGAAAAGAAATATAGATTTGATTACTACTAACATAGATTATATACAATAATTTGAACTCCAGACTTGTTCATGTATATTGCAACTAGCAGAGCCCTTGAAACAATAAATGAAACATTAAATTTAATGAACTTAATTTAACCTGTTAAGAAAAAAAATAAATTATACAGCAGAGGATTCATTGTCTTAACAGTGCTTGGAGAAAGCAAGAAGCAAATTCTCCATGCCAAATTATCATTGTAAGAACTCTTCCATGAGAAAAACCTTTGCAACAACAAAGAACTTTGGGCGGACCAGCAGATTTTGCAAGAAAAAAAACAAAATCACTTGGTCTAATAAGATGCGATTGAAGCACATTTGTTTTATCTATTGCTTACCACCATATAAAATTGAAATTACTATTCTATTACTTAATCTGAACTCAAGAAAATCCAAACCCAATAAGAAACAGAGTAAAAAAAACTCATTCAAGAAGGATTGAAGAGAGGGAAGAAATGGTACCTTGGGGGAGCAGATGTTGGGGAAGTTTGTCAGAGGAATGTTTTTTTCTCTGAAAATATATACAGAAGGAAGATCGATGGAGAATGAAGAACGAACGATGGAAGAAGATGGTCCAGTCTAAAATACGAACAGTTGCTGAAAGGAGGGACGAACGACAGAGGGTTTTTTCTTCTAACCATTCAGATAAAGAGAGTAGGCGAAAGCGAATGCAAAGGAGGGAGAGACGGAGGGAGAATGAAATAGTTTCACGCGCTTTTTCCTTCTTATCCTTTGGAGCTAACGAAGATGGAGTACAGAGGCGTAACAGAGTCCTCAGTAGGGCTGTCAAAAAAATCTAATCTTTCTTGAACAGTTCGTGTTGGGTTCCTTAACGGGTAGGGGTCGAGTAGGGGTGTTCGTTTATATTTGGAGCTCAATAAATGTGTTCGTGTTCGGCTCGTTTGCTTAATGAGCCAAACACGAGCTGTTCACAAACAAAGAGTCCTTTGAACAACCCTAATCATGTCGTCATAAGACAAAAAGGATTTGAGCATGATTTAAAAATTATTATTTATATAAAAACATCATTTGAATCTAATTTAATAATTTTTATTATATTTTCTTAATCAATATTTTAATTGATTATAAATCATTGTAGCCTTATTGTAGCCTTGTAGTTTTTAAAATACTACTTATATATATATATATAAACTTGATGAGTAGTATTTCGAGCCAAAACGAGTCGAACACAAACGAACACATCTTAGTTCGTGTTCGGCTCGTTAACTTATCGAACGAAATTAACGAGTTGAACACGAGCTTCTTAACGAGCCGAACACGAGCTGTTCGCAAGCAACGAGCCGTTTTGACAGCCCTATTAATGAGTTCGTGTTAAATTCGTTCCATAAGCAAATGAGACGAACATGAACAAATTTTTTTTGTTCGGTTAGTTAAATGAATCAAATACGAATAGTGATGCGTTCGTTTGTTTGAATCGTTATTGTTCTAAATATAAAATATTTTAAAATAATTATATATATAAAATCTTTGATATTTTAAAAATTAAATTTTATAAATTATAATATATAATAAATTAATAATATAAATATATTAATATACTATATTAGTAATATACTAATATAGATATTATATATTTATATAATATAAGTTATATAATTAATATAATATATTATTTATATATATTAATATTAGGGATGTCAAACTGACACGTCGTTCTCGAACAGCTCGTGTTCAGCTCGTGTTCGGCTCGTTTGTCAAGAAACGAACACGAACAGTTACTTCATGAACAATTTCGAACACGAACTTATTTCAAACAAACTAAATTTCAAACGAACCAAATACGAACACAAGCTTTGTTCGTTCGTGTTCGGTCTGTTCGTTCATCTTCGATTCGTTTACACCCCTAGTCCTCAGACTATAATTCCTAGGTTTTGTGAGTTTTATATTATATTTTATAGTATTTTGTGTGTAAAGCCCTAACAGTGTCACGTTAGAAGTTAAAGTTAGTAAAAATTTTGGGTGTATATTGCTTTCTCTATTGCACCCTAATTTATGCCCTTTTTCTTCTTTCTAGAATCAAATTATATTGAACAAAAGAAATGGAATGACAACTCTCATGGCTCATGGCGAATCTTTTAACATTTAAATGTAAATACCACAACAATGTATTCTTAAAGTTAGAGGTAACAATGACTACAGCTTGGATATGATGATTAACCTTTAGGCCTATTATTCCTATATGTGATGTAACATAAATAATGACAAATTAGTTCACATGATTGTTGACCTCACTTTTGGTTGAGGTCTAGAAATTTATTTAGTAACCTAGGTCTAGCCATAGGACTTTCCTACTGACTAGTCTTAGAAAACTAGAAACGGTACTCTCACCATTAGAAACTCAAAACTCTTCTCTTTACTCAACTTGAAGTTCCACATATTGGTCATAACTTCTAGTACTTAGTAGGTAAGATCATTATGAGGGAACTCAAGGAGAGTTCCTATAGGGCTACTTGACCTTAGGATTGACCCTGGGGGTTGGTTTGGAGCTAAGGTATACAATACCCTCACCATACCCTCACCATATCCTCACAATACCATGGCTAAATGACCAAATCACATCAATTGGACTCATAACCATGCCAATTGACTCAAATAAATGTTGTATTTGCTTCATAGCAATACTTTACATCAAATTTGACCATAAATTTGTATTGGTGAAACTTTTCTACCATTCAATTTGGTCCAAAATCCAAAACCCTAATTTAGCCCCAATATTGGCTAACACCCCAAATCTCAACAATTGAATGCCCTAAACCTCAAATTGGCATCCAATTTTTGTTGAAAATCCTTTGTGAGGTCATTTGTGACCAAACACAA